AACGTTGCAATTCTGCCCTGAAATACTTTTTGATTACTCCTGTATTCTGAAAGGCACGCTCCACTGCAGTCTCTGGAGTTATACCACAACTCCATAATAGGGCCACTTTGTACTGGCACATCTCTTGGAAAGGGACTTAAAGAAGGGTGCCATTTTTTTTGTCAAATGATGACAAATAGCTTTGTCATTTGAATAGCTTTTTGTCAAAGGAACCCCATATCACCTCTTTGTACAATAATTTCACTCCCTTGTTCCTAAAAAAGGAGCTGATTTCCATCACACTCAGCTGTGCATAGCTGCTTGGAAAGCATTTATTGCATTAGCAGCAGTTTGATCCTGCAGAGTAACTTCTAGTTAGACATCAAACTGGAATTTGGCAAAAAAACAACAACAAAAAAACCCACAAAACAACAACAACAAAAACTAGATTAGTTCTTTTACCTTAAGAAACATATGATGGAGACCATGAGGGCTTACACTACATGAGAGTTATCTTGACTAAACCCATAGTACTCCAGCCAGTTCCCTAACAGGGTAAAATTGGTTATTCCTCAAAGCCAACTGAATTACTTTGCAAGTAATTCAGTTCCATGCAAGGCCTCACTTGCTTTAGGAGAGTTTCTCAGCCACCCTTAGTTCTGATGGCCATGTTTACTGGAGAGGTAATGCCTTGGAGCTCCCAGGTCGGAGGGCATACAGCCAGCCAACCAACCTGGCACAGAAAGGCACTGAGGTGGTGAGCTCAGCCTTGTGTGCCCCAGGCTGGAGTTAAGTGCTGCTTTCAGCCTTTGTTGAGGCAGCTCCTAAGCTCTGGGGTACATCAGGCCATCCCACACCTGCTCCCTGGTGGCAGTCAGAGGTGTGCAGGCAGTGCCAGGCAGGCATGTGCCAGCAGTGCCGCCTCATAATGAAGGTAGATGCAGGGTAGATGCACTGCTATGTTGCTGGGTGCCTCTCAGCTTCCAGCCATTGGGAGAATGAGCTTTTCTCCCAAGCTGGATGATTCTTTTTCTGAGAAACGCTAACCTTCAGATACATGAATCAATTTAAATAAAACCTTAAATATGTGTGCTCTTCATTTTTTGTTTCAGCTTGAATCAGCTTTTCTCTGACCCAGAGAAAAAAATGCTAAAATAGCTTTTTTAGAAAGTAAGAAGAAAAACATATTATTTGGGAAATAAACCCATATGTAAATAGATTTCTGAAGAAAAAGTTGCCAAAAATACACCAGGAGGTGGTTTGGGTATGGAATTCCTGTAGGCACATAAGCACATGAACACTGGATTAATATGTGGAGCAAGGTAACTGCTGCCATTTCTAACAGGAATTAGGTATTTGGTGTTGGTGGGAGTTCAGCATCCATGCTTCACTATGCTTGCTCTTTAGCAACCAAAAGCTGAGATGGCCAAGTGGCCTCTTCATGTCAAACATAAGACTAATGTTCATGCACTGGACAAAGAGGAAAGGAATTTTCTTGTTTGTGCATCCTCTTTCTCTCTTTTACTCATCAACAGTAAAGAGCAGCACTGTACCTTTTCAAAAATTGTAAGCAAGAAACAAGAAGGAACCACTAGATGGCTGTATTTAGTAACAAAAGGCTGCTGATGCACTCTTAAGCTGCTGAAATTCATAAAAATACATTGTTATTTTGATCTATGTATCGATTGTTTCATGAAGAAATGAATGCGGACAGGATAATAAGTCAGGAAAACCTATTGAGACAGGATTATTGTCTATATCAGCAATCTTGATTATTCTGTGTGTTAGTATTTGGGGTACTGCAGATGATGAGGGCTGTGGGGTGCAGCGAAGCGCAGAGTTCTGTGCAACTGCTCTTCACAAAACTGTGCTGAACAGGATGGCTGGGTCAGCACTGAACCTGAGCTAGTAAATCTTCATCTGACCTCTTGTACCAAACCCTTACTTATAATGAAGGCTGAGGTGTTCAACGAGGCGTTCCCTGCTGGACTACAGTGAGGCATTCTCGGCTTATTTGAGATGATGCTGTGATTCCCAGTTGCAGCATACATACTGGTCAGCCTGTGGCTGTGTCCAGACATGCTGTTTGGCTTGGAGCAAAAGTAGCATCTCTCTACCCCTTCCACCAAAAGAGAAATCCATGGGTACCAAAAGAGGACAGTTCTGAGTTAACTTTGGCTAACTGCTACATGTCCACTCAGAGACCTTCACCACCTCCTCCTCCCTCTTTTCTGCCTTCTCATTTCCCTGGGATTCAAATGAACACAATAGGATAAGAAAGCTTGTGGGCCAAGGTAAAGACAGGGAGGTTGCTTACCAGTTACTATAGCAAGCAAAACTGACTCAACTTAGGGAAAATCAATTTAACGTATTGCCAGTTAAAATAGATTTGAGCAGTAAGAAACAAAATGACAAACATTAAAAGAACGCATTTCCTCCCTCCTTTCCCAGGTTCAGCTCTATTCCTTCACTCCAGACCCTTCTACTCCCTCCAAGTGGTACAGGGCAGGTGGGGAGCATGGTCAATGCAGGTAGTACTCTCTGCTCTTTCTTCCTCCTCACACTTTTCCTCTGCTCTAGCATGAGTTTACCCACAGGCTGCTGTTTCTATCAGGAAAATCTGTTCTGACGTGGGCTCTCCATAGGGTGCAATATTTCAGGAATATCTCTCTGCTCCAGTGTAGATCCGATACACCGATGAGCACCTTCTCTTCCTTTCTCTGACCTTGATGTTTTCTCTGATGCTTCCCACTCTTTTCTCCCTCTTCCTCAGTCTCTAGAAATCACAGAAATGAAATATTTACTATGTCTACCTAACTTTGAGTTTTCTTTCAATGAATATTTGGGAAGGGCCTGTTTTTGGCTGTGCTGGGAAAAAGCACCCAAATGTTCTCTCAATGCCCAGAGTTTCTGCAGCCCTGGGAGCATCCTGGACACTTTTGACCTCTCTTCAGCATCTCTAAAAGAATATCTGGAAGCTGTAGACTGGAAGATCTAGGTTTGTGTGAAATTTGGCAAGGCCATGGTACACAGATCAGGAGCTCCAAGCATCATGCCAGCAGGAGCTAGCTGCGGCGCTCCTTGTGGGAGGTACAGTCTGGGCCATTGGGGTGGTTTGCCACAACTGCTGTGCCAATCACACTTGCTGATGGTAGTCCTGAGCTGATGAGGAGCTCATCCAGCATGTCTAACAGGGCAAGAGAGCTGCTGGACATCTCTTAGTGAGGGCTTACTGTACAGTCAGTAACAGTGAAGTGCCACAGAGGAAATGAGATTCCCTCTGTGTGTGTGTTTCAGCAAATAGTGACCAAGAAAAATTTTGCATGGCTTAAGAATGCAAAAAGCAGGCTTGTTTCCTGAAGGAAGGCTGGTTGTCTGTATATTTGTTTATTGTACTTCTGTGGACATGGGCAAAAAAAAAATTCTTTTATTTCACTTAGTAATCCCATGTTGATCTTTGTTAGCCACATTTCAAGGTGTGTCTGACTTATATCTCTTGCTATATCCAGCTATGGATTCATAGTCCAAGTGATAAAATGGCAAGGTTGCATCTCTATTTGCTAATAGGTGTTTCTATATGTACAGTAAGGTCTCTATGTTGAGCTGTTTCTCTGCTCCATGTTCCTGAGTTTTGTACACCACCACAACAGAAAAGGCAGCTGGTGGGCTTTGTGAGACATGGTGTATCTCTGATGATGTGGATAATGGTTATACTGTGTGGTTAGCATGATAGAATAGTCTTTTCAAAGATGACAGAAGGGAATTTGGAAATGGGATAACATTTCCCTTTCCACCTTAGTGTTGCTGTATCTTGGAACACTTATTTCCCAAGCCTGGTTGTGGCCTTGTCTCACTATCAAATCAAGGTAATTATAGTTTTTTGGTGCTTCTGCATATTACAGTGAAGTAATATCTCTTCTTCTGTGTAGAAAATCCAGTAACTCATGCCTAGAAAATCACAGCAAACTCTTGTTCTCAAATAAAAGGAGAAATATTTTCTGCCAACAAAAAAGGTATCACTGTGGTCAACTGAGACTACAGTGAAAGTCAGAAACAGAATATTTGTGGTCACTACAACCTAGAAAGTCCAACTTCAGTTCATTTACATTGTCTGTACTTAGCAAGCCTATGAAATGCTTTTGAATGTTACTTATCCTGTCAGCCCATCAATTCTAGGTACTTTCTGAACCAGGACCTTACTAATCTAAAATGTCTACAGTGAAACTTGAAATGATGCACTGAATCCAGTGAACTGTGCAAATAGGAAGTAAAAAAAAAAAAAAAAAAAAAAAAAAAAACCCACAATAAAAATGAAATCTTATGCCTACAACACATGCAAGTTACCTGTAGGTGAGTTACTTAAATGGTTTCCCATGACTTGGCAATGTGTTCATACCACTTTGAGCAAATGTGAAGCACATGCATCCCAGACCAAAGGAGATGACTGTTGGGTAAGGATCACACTGTTAAGAATAGGGCCATAAGTTATGATGGTCTCACTCATCTGTACTGCAGTCCAAGCACAATAGTAACACCATATCCCAGAACAACAGGATGAAAATAAAATCTCATGCATGCTACTTGGCTGTGCAAGATGTTGCCATCTAGCATTTTCTGAAAACTGTTGTGATTCCCATGGAAATAAAAAGGAAGTGTTACTTTCGGAGTGACCTACATAAAATATTTATCTATTAAAAAACATTGTAGAGTAAATACTGTTTTGTTTCTTTTACCACTTAGAAATCAAAACTTTTTAAAAAAAACTTCAAGAAAGGAGACTGAAAATCATTTAAAGGGGCTAAGAACTGCTTTCATAAAGAATACTGAAATTGTTGAAACCTGAATGTTTGAATTGTCACCAAAGAACACTAGGCAAACAATAGGAATTTGGCAAAAGAAATCAGACCTGCAATTGGCCTAACTTGAACTTGCAACAGATCATCTGATAATGTCAGAAATTTCTCCTCTCCTTTTTATCTAAAATAGTATTTGGGCAAAACTGATGTGATATTGTGAAATACTGCTTTGACAGCACTGCTTTTTTAGTTCAGAATGTTCTGTTAAATGTTTGTTTTTTTAATCAGTCTGGATGTGACTACCTTTTTTAATGCATTTTCGTCATGACTCTAGAAATGGGAAACTCGCCTCTACAAACAGGTAAAGGAAAATCTGTTATTTTCTTGAGCAAGTTTTTTCCACCTGTTTTTTTCTTGGAGATATCTAATTCTTGGATAGGCCATTAAATCACTTGTTTTAAGGCCTTTTTTTTTCCATTGATGTGATTTTTTTTGTTTTGTTATTGTTTTTCTGTAGAGCAGCTTGTTTCTAAATAGACTAGATAATTTTGTGGTTATTATTATTATTGTTGTAAATACAAAGTATTTAACAGTTCATTGTGCATTTAGAACGTGAAAATTGTGGCCAAATCTGAAAAGAGGAGAAGTACAAGGCAGTTCTGAAGTATTACTGCACCCCAGTTACTAAGCATTATTATCAGAAACCAACAATATAAAATTCTTACTTCTGTGTCCACATCTGATACAAACTTTTACACAGGTTCTTACTTCTTTACCTAATGCAATTAAAGGTAAATACCAGTTAGAGTGACAGGTTAAGCACTGGTGCATTCTGAAACAGTACTGTGGTACCAAAAAACCTCTCTGCCCAATCAGATTGGGTTTCTGATTACCTGTAGAAAATCTGTTATGTGCTGCCATGGATTAAGAAAAAAGCAGTGATGGAGAGTGGCAGCCAAGCTGCACACTAGCCACCAAAATAACTGGCCCTCAGTGGGAGAATTGGTGCACCTTGTCAATCACGACATCTGTCTCCAAAATCTTGTAGCAAATTCTCACACAGTGTCGAAGTATTTTTCTACAGCTTTTCGCAACTCCAGCAGTGAGATTTGAATGTTGATTATTGTACATTGTATATTATTGTATGTTGTATAATACATTCAAAACGAAACTATTGGAGTCTGCTGAGGAAACCTGAGTTTTTTAGCTGAGGCTGAAGTAATTTAATCAAATTTATACCTTTGTCTTAGTCTTTCAGTAAATGTATGGCTGTTCTTCCACGGTAAGTCACGTGAAACTGGTGACTGCACATTTATTTATAAGGCTCCATAAATACTTGTGCAAAACTCTTTTTTGTTGTTGTTCGGCTTAATGTCATAGTGATAGAAATCGGTATAAATTTCCCATGAAAGAAAGAATTACGCAAGCGTACTCCAGAGACTTTTCTTATGCCGCACAGTGATTTATTTACTAACTTTTTGAGCACTTACATCGATTGCCAGTAAGTCTCAATTCTGTATGTATTTTCTAATAACATGACCAGGACTCATACAAATTCGGAGAAAACACGTGATTGCAGCTTTCTCAAATAGGGAAATGAGGGATTTCTTAAGAGTCCCAGGTAATCTTGCATCCCTCTTTAGTCAGTACTCGATGAAACTGCTTGTTCTGATGACAAATAGAAAGAGAGCTGTGATTATGAACCTCTCTTTAGAGCTTGCTGATCACCACCCTAGCTCTGACCACCATTTTCTCTTACAGAAACATCTTGCCTTCAAAGGATAAGGGTGTCTTTTGCTCATCGCACCAGCACTAGGCGACATCATTAGATAAATATGCTTCTATGTGACGTCTCAGACACCTTGTCTAGTTTACGGAAGTCTTATACAAAGCAGTGTCAATATGAACACTATTTAAAAACAAAAGAAAATAAAAACAACAAACAAAAAAACTCCAACAAACTGAGGCGTTGATAGGTCAGATGTTTTGTATAAGATATGTGGGAAATTTGTGGGAGGCTCAAGAACAGAATTAATCTGTCTGGAATTCCCACATAACCCACAAAATTCTCTTATTCAGATACAAGACTCCAGAAAAGATTCATAGACAATCTGAATATGTGGAGGTGTTGGGGCAGGTCTAAAGGATGACCATAAAGATGATCAGAGGGCTGGAGCACTCCTCCTATAATGAAAGGTTGAGGGAGTTGAGATTGTTCATCTTGGAGAAGAGAAGGCTCCAGGGAAACCTAATTGCAATATTTCAATACTTGAAAAGAGTTTACAAGCAGGAAAGGGTTTGACTTTTTACGCAAGTAGATAGTGGTAGGACCAGAGGGAACAGACTTAATCTGAAAGAGGGAGGTTTAGGTTAGATGTTAGGAAGAAATTCTTCACTCACAGGTTGATGAGGCACTGGCTCAGGCTGCCCAGAGGGGTTGTAGATACCCCATCCCTGGAGGGATGGCCAGGCTGGATGGGTTCCTTGGCAGTCCAGTCTAGTTGTTGGCAACTCTGCCCATGGCAGGGAGATTGGAACTAGATGATCTTTGCATGACCCTTCCAACACAACACATTCTGTGATTCTATGATTCTATGAATAGTAAGTTGTTGTAATTGAACTCCAATATCCTTGAGTCCTCTCTTCACATAGTGCATATTTTGTTCACTTTCTTCCTGTGTACGTGGCTGTAAGTAGTACACATTCAATGTACTACACAAAATGTACCTTGCTGCTCATGGATACAGACTGTTGTGTGTACCTTTAGCAACTGGCACAAATTGCCATAGGCAAATTCTTGTATGAAATTATGTATGTTTTTTTTTAAAGATGTGGCACATAACGTCACTGATTAAAACAGATGAAAAAGCCAGCTGTCAGACAATGATTCAACAGGCTCAGGACTGCTCATCTGGAACCCAGGGCACAAGGTCAAGTACTTCCCCTCATTCAACCGCACACAATACCCATGGTTACTCTGTATTTTTAGCTTCAAGAGTTTTCTATCTTTGGTACTGGTTTGTGTGTTGTTTTTTGGTTGTTTTTTTCACCAGCAATCCCAGCATCAGTAAAGTTTCGAAGTGAAGAGCTGCCAGGAAGCTCTCTTGGAAGGCTTCTGGTGTTAACCCATATGCTGACGTACCTCCCACACTCAGATCTGCAGGGGTGGTAACAAGAGATTTCAAGCTGCTGGCACAGGGCACCCCTGTGCTCCTCTGGCAGACATGCAAAGCCATGTAAATCTATATGGTGTTCCACAGGCAGGTAGAGGTGACACCTCCCTCAGGGAAGCAGATAGCAGTGGAATTTTCTGAGGCCTTCCTTTAAGGGAGAACTGCAGGATATTGATGAGCAGCATACTGCCTGACTCGTGATACTCCCAAGAGTGGTAAGAATTTTAATGGCTGCTCAGGTCAGTTTCAGTAACAACACTCTAATTTGCATGAAGCTTGAGAAGGGGTTCTTCTCTGATCTTCTCATTTTGCTATTTTAATCAATTCATGAGTACGCTTTAGTACACAGACCCTTCTCTGCTGTGCTAGTAACTCAGCCTTCAAAGCAATGGGTTCAGAACTGTGCACTGCCAAGGCAGAACTGGAGGCAGTCAGTGCTCAGGAAAGTATGAGTTGTTTATCTGGTTCATTCTAGTTACATTATCTCTCTTTTTCACTTGTAGAAAGAAACATAGGTCAAATCTCTCCCAAAGGTCTGAAGAGTACTCTATGCTTTAGTCCTTCTTGGAGTACTTGTATAATGCAGAGTCAGCTACTGAAGCTTGTGCCTTTTCTCCACCTTCAACAGACACTGGATTCACCTGGATCTCCTTTTATGAAACGGAGAAAATTACTGAAGAGGGAGGCAACATATACACATGGTACCTATGTGACACCTCAAGCTGAAAACAAAAACAGTGTAGTGTAACGGCAGGAAGTGGTTCTTGAGGGAACAATTTTCCCAGGCTCTTGTGCCATTTTAAACCTTGCTCACCTAAGCAAAACACTGCAAGTCTTGAAGAATCCTCACGGGCTGACAACTCTGTGGGACAGTGTAGGGGCAAACTGCAATCTGTTCAAGGTAGAGGAAGAGAAAGGGCACATGCATACCTCTGTGGAGGTGCCTCCTCAGCAAAGTCAGGTATCAAAGAAGTCTGCGGAGGACTACAGATGACTGGGTAGTTTCTCTGGAAAACCTGAGTACCTTTTTTCATTGGCCATTTGGTAGTGTTCTTTTGACAGGACAAGGACAAGCAGGTCTTCAGCACTTTCCACTGAAAACAGATGCAGCAATAAGTGAAAATAGCTCAGCACAAAGCCCAGTGCCTGTGTGTGCTCCCGAGCACAAAGTGGATTAAAGCTACTTGCAGCTGTGTAGGCTGCTAATCTCTTGGTGGAAACATTTCTTAATTCTGCAACAGGTGGCCCTGAATAACCTAGAAAAAATCAAGAACTTCTTCCCTCTTGGTGTCACTCTTACTTGGAGGCAGAGAAGCAATACAAGAGAACACAGGCGAGCAGCCACAACCGTGTCACCTCTTTTCCAACTAACAGTGACTTGTCCCCATCAGCACATAAACAGAAACATGGGCATCTGCAACATTTCATCCTTGGTCTTTCACCTGGTCTTTGACTACAGAATGGTGGTCAGTTGAAGACAAAATGCTGCTGTTGCTGTAAACTGTGTTTAAATATACTTACACTGAGCACCTTAGCAAATTACTAAAATTAAAAATTAAAAAAAAAAAAAAATAACAAAGACATGGCACAAAAAAAGTCTGTCCCTGTTAGATATTTTGAACATTTAGGCTCATTCCTTGGGAGCTGTGAAGTCCTGCAAATTTCTCAAATCAATTGTGGTGCTTGTTTGCACCAGAAATGACAGCAGGCTGCAGGCTGCTGGCCAAGCAGCCAGGAGGCTGCGGTGAGAGAGGAGGAGGCAAAAAGTTGCTAAAAGAGGAACTGGGAAGGGGAATCTGCCCACAGGGAAACTTTTCACAGCTGGCAGTGTCACAGCACTCTCACTGTGAGACGGCGGCTGTGCAACCACAAACTAATGACTGAGGTCCACAGTACTCACAACACCTTCCCGGCATGGACAGGCAGCAATGAGCCTCTGACACTGGAAAGCACAGAGATGAAGATATCAGGACTCCAAAACAGATGGGAGACCATGCATACAGGGAAACTGTGGAGATCTGTCACCCCGTGGAAGATGGTGGAGTGGTGGGAACAGAAGGTACCTTTTGGGGATATCAGACGGATGTGCATGGTATGCTGACTCCAGCCACAGGCTTACTTCCCGTCTGATGTTTTTGCTTAAGAAATGGATGGAAGTACCCTGTGACACTTTGGAGAAATATGAGAATATTTTCACATCGCTTGGAGAGATGTGGTTGGAAATGTAAGCTACATCTGAGTCAACTCAAGCTGAACTGAAATAAAGAACAATTGAGATTTATGTATAAACGTTTGATCCTCGCGTATATGAACTTGTGAAAGACTCCTTAAGTGTCTGAGGAGCAAGAAATATTTTCACGTGGGAAAGGAAGAGGTTGCATGAATCACACCATGCTTCCAACTTAGATTTTACAGTAGTGATAGTTTAGAGAGGAGAGATACAATCTACAAGTTGGTAGAATTTATTCTTGAAACATGTCTGTGGAAATGCTGTACCTAGGACAAACGAAAGAAAAGAAGTATAAAAAAAAAGTTATCTAAGTCTGAATAAACCACTTTGTTTAGCAAAACATCTGTATGATCTGTTTAAGTCAGTATTGTAATGATAAGCCACATTAAATCTGTGCAGATAAGTCAGCACAAATGGTTTGTTTCCCTCATGTCACTGAGGAGGAGGAGTCTGTATAATTACGAGGCCAAGGACAACTAGGAGACATTTGTCAAAATCATCCTTGATTTCTTTCACACAGGTATTGAACAAATGACATCAAATCTGTTTTTGTGGTCACATTCCCCCGGATAGCAGAGTATGGGCATGGTCCAAGAAGAAGAAGTGGAGGTGCTGCTAGGTGGCTCAGTGGTACACCACAGCATCCCTTGGAGAGTGAAGGAAGACAAACAGAGAAAGAGCCCCTGTACTGCCTGTTGGCACAGCAACCAGACTCATTCAGCCTGGGTAAGTATTTAAATGTGGATTTATTATTAAGATCTTTTATTTAGATGTGTGGGTTTTGATCAAGCCAGAAGTGGGAGGACAAAAATAACCATCTGTAGGTTGGGAAAAATCACTTGTCACTTGTTGAGGAAAGTCAGGTTATTCTGTGACAATGCCAGCATGGTTTCTGGGTGTGGTATGACTTTTCCTGTTTCTCACCATTTTCAATGAGATGATGCCTTTTAGTTTCAGTGATTAACTTAACCTGATAAACTTAATTCTGGTGACAAAATAAACATAGCTGCAAGCAAGATCTCATTTTCCTCTCACTACTTGCTTTGTTTAAGCAACCTGTTATTTGTAGAGGAAAGCAAGGTAGAATGTAAGTATATGCTGTCCCTTGCTTTTACCTATGCTTTCAGTAACATTTCAGTAATATTGTGCCAGGCAACAATTCTATGTTAAGATTTTGACATAACATACAATGATATTGAAAAAATCATACGTTGTTTTGGTAGCTTTACAAATGGGCAGAAGCTGCATCCCTTTAATAAAGAGTCAGCAAAACCCCTCTGCTTTCTCTCTTCATTTTGATCATTGTTTTTGTCAGCTTGTGTGGTTCTTCTTGGCAATTAATTTTGTTTAAAGAGACAACACGTTAATCTCATGTAGTCACAAATACAAACCTCTTTTTTTGCAAATGCCCAAACCAGCAGTGGGCCTCTTTGGAGCCAGCTTGAACAGGCTCTTGTCTGCTATGGGCATCTGCTGAGCTCTCTTCACAGAGACCACCCCCCTGCAGCCCCCATGCTAACAAAACCTTGCCATGTGAGACCAATAGAAGAATGAAGAGACAAAAATTACTGTTCAGACCTACTAGATAAAAATATTCTGGTGACAAATGGCCCTGAGGTGTCCTCAGTCCTGAGAGCCCCAACACAGAGTCATTGGAGATGAGAGGGACGTGGAAATCAGATAAATGGACATTGCTCTTGAAAAAGGCTTCCCTTGGGTTGTTTCCAACCACAGATCTGACGCAACCCCACCACTGAGCAGGACCAAAGAAATATCCACTACACAAAAAGTTAATAGAGAGAATGTGTGTAAGAATAGGAGTTTTTGTTTCTACTTCAGGGATGCACTATCCTCTGCTTTATCCACATGGGAGTGGAGGCAGAAAGCCCTCGCTGTTTTGCTTATGCTCCTAGGTAAACCTCAGTGCAAATACATGAATTACTATTTCTTAAATTAATGCTTTCCTGCTGAAAGTTTTCAGTGTCCTGGTGGAGGAAATCCATAACACATCATTTTCTCCTATTTAACACAGGAAAAGAATAATATATAAATTGCTTTTAATCATGTTTGTAGTTTGTTTAGCCTTGGTACAACACAACAATTGAGTGGAACTACAAATAAAAGCCATCACATTTTCCAGGCTGAAAGAAAAGGAACCTTTTCTCTGCTGTGTGGGAACAACTCAGCAGCAGGAATATGGCAGTGGAGCTGGATGAATTGTGCAGACATGTAGGAGGAGAGAACTTTCTGCATTACCACATATTGCCAAAACCTGAAGGTTGAACTGTAAGCTAGTACACACGATGTGTCATCCATTAGTTCATTTGACATCTGAGTTGTTTCTTATAGTGTGACCACTTCTCACCCACATACAGGGATTGAAACTCCCCGAAGTCTAGTGCAGGATGGCAGATGTGGTAGTTTGCACGTTTGGGACAGAGGATAGGTAAAAAATTTGCCTGGTATGAAACTTTTCTGAGGGCTTCACTTTGTTTATGTTTCGTGGGGTTTAGCTGGGTATACAGGGACTAATAAAAGTTAATGTTATTGGTGAACTTTTCCGCTGCGTTATACCACTGTAGGTCAATTTTGACCTATGTAAAATGATTAGATCTTTTAAATATAATTTCATTGTACAAAAACAGCACGTGGACATTTATAGGAGGAACTTAGCAATATTTTGGACTTCTTCGCTTGTCCAACCTGCAATCACGTTGAAGGAAAATCAAAGGTTAGCAAAACTAAAGGCAATAAAGAATTTTTATCATCAAATTCAACTCAGAAGTAGTAAGCATCTCCTCTGGAGGTAAACACTTCTAAATAATGCAAAGGTGAAAAGTGTTCTGTAAACTTCCTGGTTTTTTTTTTCTTTTTATTTTTTTCAGTTTGTCTTACCTGTAAGTGTAATGGGAAGTGCTGTTCTTATGTGATATAAGTAAATAACATCACTTTTCCTGAATCCAACTTACAGCCGCAAATCTTGCAAAAGTTACTTAAAGCACAATTGCTCCTGTGATTCCACGTTAATTAATAAAAACCATGCTTTTCTGACATCAGTTTCTAGTATGATTTGTAAAAGGAATAATGTAGACTTCTGTGAGGTACTTGCTTCAATAATATACAATGTTGTGTCAGAAAAATACAGAAACTCTCGCTGCAAAAAACAGCGTGCACTTTGAAATGGAAAACTTATAAGTAGGGTGGCAGTAAGTAATCTTCAGCACATGGCTTCTCTACTTATTTTCTACAGAGATCCTTGCCAGATTTGACCTAATTCAACTTTTTCTTCTGTGGGAAAGACTAACAGAATGGTAAAAATTAAGGAGACAGAAGAGTCTGTAAAACAGTATAAAGTAGATGGATTAGCAGTCTAGACCCGCTGGAACAAACATATTTTAATACAGGAGAATTATAACCTGAAAACAACAAAGAGGGTAGGAGGGCACAACGGGCAAATATCTTAGCATGAGTTTGTTTGTTGCAGAGGTAAAAAAGAATTATGCAGTTTGTGGATGTATAAACAAGCTAGGAGAAGTGGTTTTTCCCCTGTATTTCTCATTGCTGAGATCTTTTTTCCATGGTAGTAATTCTAAGCTTTTACTGGTACTTCCCAATTCTCACTGAGATTACAATTTTATCTTTATTAGGAACATTTTTCCACTGCAAGGAGGGTGTTTCTTCTTTGATTATGGCAATAAATCACCACAGTAATAGCTAACAGCCAACTAGAGAGGAGATGAACTTCTCACTTTGCTTCCACAGTGGTTTATTTTCATCTCCCTTGATAACTTTGAAAACCTCAGAGTAAATAAATGGTCAATTATATCCCCCTATTCATAACCTTTATCATTGCATGAGCTGGATACAAACTCTTGCATACATCTCTATGATTCAAAGAAGCTGAACCAACCAGAAGTAATTTGCAGAACTATGCCCAGTGCTCCAGCTTGCAGTTTGACACCATTTTGCTCTGTTAGGAGGAGAACTGATGATAGAGACATGTGGTTCTACGGTGCAATTCCATCTACAGCAAAGGAAAAGCCTGTTTCTTTGAATGTATTATTAATGCAAGTGGAGCAGACATTGTCCTTGGTAACAGTACCAAGTGTCTTGCAGTTAACACTCCGTCCAAACAGTCCTGCCTTCATATTACTGCACTTACACTGGTTTCCTACACTGGAAACATACAGGGCCTGAGCTGGGAATTTTTTGGGAATTCAAATACATTTCTTCAACACTCAAAGAAACTGTGGAAATGGTAGGGTAACTGTTTAGTGCAGGGATGTGTATCTTGCTCCACATGCTCCATCTGGGCAAGTTTCATCCTGGTTCTTGTATGTCCAAAGAATACCTGGAAGAAAACACAACAACTTAACTTCAGAAAAATGAAAAATTTTCTAAAGTTGAGCCTCAATTGGTCTCAAAATTACATTGTTGGAGGGAAGCAAGCACATCATCAATACAGATAGAAACAGTAAGTATAATTATTTAAGTACCAGACATTTCACCCCAGGATTGGGTGGGGTTGGAGATTCATGAGCCTTGAGGTCTCTTTCAACCCTGGCCATTCTGTGATTGTATGATCCTTGATTCTGTCGTGTCAGAGCATATTGTAATCATTAATCAGTTAAATGTCATAACTATTGAGAGGAGTTATGTGTTACTCCTTTAATTTCTTGCAAAACAAATATATATTCATGGATGGTTAAATGCCTCAGAGACACAAGGAATTTCATTGATTTTGGGAGGCACTAGTTGCTGTAAGTTATAAGCATTTTCATGGCTTGTTCAGCATCAAAATCTGATTAGTTAGTGAGTTACAAAGTAAAAGATAATCTGCATATTGCCCTAATTTTATAGCTTTCTTCAAGGAGAAACATCAACTTCTAAATGGTGCGTGGGATTCATCTACTCCAGCGTCACCTTTGCAGAGTAAACATCTACATCTGAGCTAGTCATCTGTGTGCCCCTTATAGTCAAGTGAAGGAAAGGCAGCTGAGATTAATTCCGCCCTGGGTGTCTGCACTGCAAAAGCGGAACACCAAAGTGCAGCCTACACCAGCCGTGGTCATCCACTTACCCTTGCCTTTCATATTTGCTATCCCGAGATTCACCGGAAAAAATTACAAAGTGTATCCAGGGGATTTCCATGCAGTCCTTGATGCTATCTTTAGAGTGCTCAAACGGAGTTGCAGAATAAAGAACTTGTTTGTACTTTTTCTTGTGTCTACTTGTCTCTGCTTCACTCAGCTGAAAACAAGAAAGTTTATAGATTAAACACTTACTGGTTCCACATGCCTGTGAAGTTATCATCTCCTGTTTTTGCTGTCCTCTCTGATGTCCTGCAATTATTTTCCACTTATTACAGGCTTTGCTGGATTCATACTATATATCGATGATATTTCCCCTATTGCAGTATTTAAACAGGTTTGTTCAATTTTTACAAATTAGCATGTACTTTCAAGTATCTCGTTCCTTTTTAACTGAGCAAAAATAAGTCATAATCAATATGGGTCAGATACGCTTTCCCTAGCAGTGATAATGCTTAGTTACACCCTGAAACATAACAAAAAATGCATGCTAATAAAAAGAGTTGAAGAGCAAACATTGTTTTGGCAGCTGTACGATAGATGTTATTAGTACAAGCTGAAACTTCATTGTGGGGAAGAAAAAAAAAAAAGAGAGAGATAAAGCCTATCTCTATTTGCAGCTGAATTTGATGAGTTTAATTCAAAGTTATTTCCAAATAGGAAGCATTGTCAGCTCAAAGAGGTATAAACTGAAATATGGAAGGTCAACCCAAAGCAGAGCTCAGCCAAACTTCTGCATTCTTACAGAAGAAGCCGTCTACAAGATGAAGAAGGCAAACCCAAGTAGGAGTGTTTGGGGCTGGATGTTTCCAGCAAGCTGCACTTCACACTCTATCACCTTCTCCAAAGTGACAGATTGGAGGAACACATCCTCCCCAAAAACTGACCCCAGGAGCACCCTGACTGGTGTGGCAGTGGGAGACAGCAAGACAGAATTCACCAGGAGACAAAGGGAGACCACCACATGCACTCTGGGGAGCTGAAGCTGGAAACCTACAGCATGCAGGCGCTTCTGTAAGTGCATGTGTAGCTGTGGTGAAAAGTATCATGAAGCTCTGTACAATGCAGATCAGCTTGTCCTTGGTCACAGCTGCTGGTGGGTTGCTATTCTGGTAGAGGAAAACCAGCCTGGATCAAAGTACACGTGAGGTAACTTAACACTGTAGTGACCTTACAACATGAGGACACAAGGAAAACAAAAGCCTCGAGGAGGACTGAACTCATGTAGCCCAGAGTGGATGTCTGACCTAGGCCCAGTGCAGGAGAGAAAAGCAAAGCTCACGTCTGAAGTAACAGCAAAGCAAACTGAAAGTCAGTGAGTTACATAATGAAATCCCAACAATATGAAACTCTGCTTTAATAAGTCTTCCCTGCTGAGCACCCAAAAGAAAGAGCGAGAGAAAGAAAATTCTGGTGATGAACATGTTAAATTTGACATTCATGTAGCCTCGAGTCTGGCAGAGCCCAAGCTACATGCCTGCTCTGAGTAATGCATTGTGAACTTTAGTGGTGCACACGACTGATATGACTCACGCACAGGAGCACTGGCAAGTACTGGAGGATCCAAGCACCTGCCCCAGCATCAGCCTTCAAAGAGATCTGCTCTGCTGAGGGTCAGCATTCATGGCTTTATTACCACCCCCAAACTTCCCCTTTTTTTAAAAAAAAAAAAGAAAAAAAAGGTCTCTGGAAATGATTTTTTTTCTTTTAGGCAGTAGATGTAGGCTGGTCTAGACATGCACGTGATTGTGAAACAGCGTGCAACATCATCTTTTTTGCTGGCTGTGTATCAATAATATGTAATTGAAAAATGATGTGATCTGTTCCCTCAAGTAAAAATGTTTTATCTTCATTGCAGGCTATAAATTAGAGGGTAAGTAAGCTACAAGCTATCCTACTGGAACCTCGGTCAGGCTACTTTTCTTGCTTTTTAAGTGACTGTGCACTAAGGACCACAGAAAAAGATGAGATGCCTAATTACCATTACATTGTAACGAGCAGCTAGTGCAAGATGTGTCATTATTTACAAGAGGACTTAACAGCCAGGTCTGCTTACTTAGGGATGTCTTTGCGGCATGTGGGTTCCAACAGCAGCAACTGAATGCCTCTTTTTTCACTCCAGAACACATAAACGGAAGTAAGAGACTGTTTGTGTAAGATACTTGGCCAAATTCCCATCCTAATTTTCCTACAGAAAACCTAGAGTAAAGTTGCTGAAGTCCATCAAATTATTAAGGGTTGACATATACAGTATAAATGTTAACAGATCTCACAGCAAAATGTTTACCAGCCATCACTTTGGCGCACCCTCTTGTGTCACGAATATCAGACAAGAGGAAATGAAATGATTGCTTCAGTCATTCATTTTAGTAAGTGGGAATTCTGGCCACGTGTTCTCAGGCTGCACAGTGCTTCATGCTACGGCCAGGCCTTGTCCCACAGTACCTGAGAGCAGCCAGTGGCAGAGGTGCTTGTTTCAAAGTGAGGAACACTGCACAGGGCTGCCATGCTCGGAGCAGAGCCCCAGCTCACCAGCTGGGCTTTACATTGTAAATGAGAAGGGAATTTTGACCCCTTCTTGTGACGTGCCACTGAGCAGCGGCTTTGAAAAAAAGAATGGGGTGGGAATTGGATGAACTCACCATATGCAGTTGTATTAGATCATATGAATCCCTTGAAACAAAGCCATAAGCAGAGGATAAAACCTAAGTTTCCCCCATGGTAATTCACCAGGGGAAATCTTACTTCCTGCCCAACATCACGTATTTGTACCAGGCACTGACAAAAAAAAAAAAAAAAAAAAGTGTGGGGAGGAAAAACACGAATAAATAACAGAAAGAATCATTGCTGTCAGAGATCAAGGGTAGTGGGAGGGGGAGAGATTACGTACACAGTGCTCAGTTTAGTGAGGCCGGAGGAGGGGGCAGTCTGCACAGCACGCCGTAGGCTGTCTTTCATTATTAGACACAGGGAGTTTTTTGAAAATTAGCATCAGTACAAAAAGATGTCATCATAAAACTCCCAAGCAAAATTACCTGCTCTTATTTCAGGTTTCTGTTTGACCAACATTAAAGACGTTCTAATATATGTACATGAAGGATTTTTTTATCTTTTTAATGACTGTCTTGGTAACTCGAGATGCTGCTGCACTGTGCTCATCAGGTTGCCTCTAGCAGCAGCTCACTGGCAGAGGGAAGTGGCAGAAGGCAGAAGGGGACTGCAGGGGACTGACCAGCTCAGCTTCACTACTCCTTGGGAAGACTATGGTGGGCTTCTCCAAAATAACCACAGCTGACCAAGGCAAGGGGAATTAACAAAGTGGCAGCTCAGTTAAGTCTCTTCTGAGCATTTTCTCTTTCTTCCTGTGCTTCCAACTCTTCTGAACAAGGCAAGCGTTGGTATTACCAGTGTTTATCACCAATATGGGAGACAGCAGCAGCACAGAGATTACTGACCAAGCTCATGTGAGCACACTGAATCTGCTCCCACCAGGAACAAGTTTGCTGCACTGCTTATTAAATACAGGCAACTGAAAAGTGTTCTTTCTTATTTCACATTTATTTTAAGCTGAAATCTTAACTGCTCAGCATTGTGGTTTTCTTTTTCGGTGTTTTGCATATTATACTATTGTGTCCTATTCAAGTATGCTGGATAAAATTACATAATTGCTCTTCCCCCCCATGCAAAACTTGCATCATATCACTATGCTAAGCCACTTATTTTACAAGGATTAAACAAGCAAGCATTTTTACTTCTTTCAGTAAAGTAGATCTCCTTCACATAGCCACTTGAAAGTCCCTGTTGCACCTGTATGGAAGAGAAGGTTAGAGCTTTCTCACCCAATCCTGGGTGAGAAGGATTCCTAAATGTATCCAGAGAGCTTCAGTCTCACTGGGATCTTTTTAATGTGTGTATCCAAATTGCTGAATTGCCTTTTCTCCTATTCCTACCATTGTCAGTGTATGGGCCATCCTATGGGATGGTTTTTGGTGCAAAAAGTTGCCAAACTACAGTTCCAGATGAAGTTACTGAGACTTAGCTGAAGAGCTGTGTAACTGCATTTGCAACACTGAGCAATGTGTGAGCCAAAGAAATTGTTACCAATGCTTTATTTTAGACACTGAAAATGTACCAGTGACACACTGATCCATAATCCAAAAACCTTGGGAACTACTGCTATAGGAAAAAAGAGATGGATATCAATTCTGTTGAGCACCTGCGGTTTCTTTCTCCCAGAAGAAATAACAGCAATTCCCAAGAATTTGCTTTAAGCATGCACTTCTAATTTACAACCAAAGCATTGAGCTATCTTAGGGGTGCTGACCCAAGCTACGGGTGCTGAGTCCTAAGACCACTTCAACTCACTGGTTTGTGTCCTTGTGAACTGCCCCGGTGCCTAGCCCAGGGCCATTCCCCATGGGAAGTTTGGAACATGTTAATGCCTAGATCTGTGGCCAGAATATGGCTTCAGCTGGCCTGTCACTCTTCAGCTCACAGGCCACTGGCTGTGTCACTGTGCATTACTCCTGCTCCAAAGGCCCAAGTTTTGCCTAAAAGATAACATTTAGATCATCTATCTTCTCAGTCAGGAAGAATTACTGAGTCTATCTACAAGTATTCCTTTATTTAGGGATTCATTTTATTAATGAACACGTAAGCACAGCCTGCAAAAACATTCCATTCCTGTACCATGTCATAAGGAATTTCCACTCAAAAAAGAATCTAGGAAACACTGGTGTCTCAGCAAAGGGGCTTCTTTCTCCAAGTGGTCTCAAAAAGGGAGAATCCAAATGAAAGTTCCCTCTTACAGAACAGGAAGGAAAAAAATACTTGAGGAGCTGTGCAGACAACAGAAAGCACGAGAGGGTCAAAATCCCCTCGGGGCATTAGGGAAATACCAAAGTATTAAAAAAAAAAAAAAAAAAAAAAAAGGCACTAATATCTTTAAAGTTCCCACACGAGTCAGTCACAAGAAACAGGCTGGGCACTCATTTACATATGAGCTTCAGAACGAGATGAGCCACACGTGACTTCAAAGTTATGACAAACAGGCCTGGAAAGCAGCAGAAAATCAAGGGGATTCAGGCATTTCAGGTGAAACCCTTCTGTGCAGAGGCTGCAGTCAGTGGCAAGCAGAGGTAAACAACCTTCCCCTTCCCAGCTCCCCTGTCAGAATCTGAAGAATAGGAACACACTGTAGAGATTGAGCTGGGAGGCCTGAGAGGCTCTGCCTTGAGGGAGCAGACAGACTTCAGGCTGTCTGCTTTGAAAGGACGTGGCACACCATCCAAAGGGAGGTGAGCTAAACTATGTGTGAGGAAGATTGGCAGAAACTCAGGAATGTGAGTGAGCTGTGAGAATTACAAACACTAGCTGAGCTATCACAAACGTACCCGAGAATATAGCACCTGTGTGGTTTCAAGTAGGAAGGTACTGAAGCATGTGCTAAAGCATGCTCCTGAATGAAGAATGAAAGGTCGATGAGGGCAGAGAGCAGCCCACTAGGAGACAGGGTGGGCAGGATCACCTCTTAGGAGAGATTCCTCTGTCAGAGCACACAGAGAGGCTTGCAGCCTCTTCTACTTTTCCCTTCAGACTGTGGGTAGCATCTAGAATTCATGGTGGGATGCAGTACTGCCTGTTTAGGCAGAGGCTTGAAATATTGGAGCACCAATATTGCAAGCATCCTCAGGCTCTGCTGAGGGAGTGTTACAGCTCAGAAAGCCCCTGGAAGCCTGGCTGGGTTTGGATGAACTTGCAATGACAAGAAAAAAACCCTTTCAGGTATTTTTCAGCTAAACAATTAGCAACTTGCTTATCAGGAGCTTGTGAGCAAGTCAGATGCCAAGACCAAAAAACTGAAGGCCTTCCCTGCTTCTCCCAGAGAGAGGAGATAGCAGGGCCAGCCTGGACCTTTGCTCCTGCACATATGGGGAGCTCTCATGACCATCACCACCTCCCAGAGTGGCACTCAAGCCAGCTGGGAATCCTTAGGGTAACTGGAGGATGAATGAAGAAAGAAAAGTTAAATCTGCCTGGCTTAGCTTCCCCTGCAGCCTGGTCCAGCCCCATCCTTACTCGGCTGCACTCAGCTCTAGGAACAGAAGACTGAGTACACACACGAGCTAAGTCCTGATGTACACTGACTGCATGGTGTCCCACAAAGTACCAAGAGCTCTTCCTAAGAGGACAATGAGGTACCGAGAGACTGCAGAGATTCACAAGCTACTGCCTTCTGAAAATACTTGGCTACACAACCTGAAACAGAGGACATCAGTGACATGCTCATTGGTCATCCTAGATAGAAATCCTTTTGCAATGGGTGACGTGCTCAACTGTGCTCCCTTCCATCAATATAAAATACCAAATTCAATCCTTCAATAATTTATTTCTTTATATCTGAGAATGTTTTTCAATCATACATTTAAGTTTGCAAATTTCAACACAAGAGTAAATATACGTAAAAAAAATCCTAGATGTGCAAATTTCAAGTTGCATTGTTTGAAATAATATAAATATTTTAATAAACATATGTTCACATTAACATTAAAAATATATAAAATTTAACAGAAACGAGTTATTTTAATTTTTTGCTTCTTTTTTTTTTTTAATATCTAGAAAAAAAGATTCTAAGCTTGATAAGGAAATTAGAAAAGATATCACCCCCAAAACAGCAGCAGCAAAATAGATACTGAAAACTTAAAAGGTATGAAAGGAGATAAGAGGGTATCAGGCACAACAGTAAAGGTAAATTTGCTGAAGAACTGCAGATTGAGAAGTAAATGCGTGAACTCCAGAAGTAAAGTCTCGATCCTAAGGCACCCCATTGCCAAGCTCCAAGCTGTTAGGCACAATGTCAGAATCACATTAAGGATAACAGAAAAAAGTGAGAGAAATAGGGAGTGGGGGTGTGAACAGCAGCATGTGTATTTCTGACAGTGACAGAGAAGAAAGTTGCTTTGGCTTCAAAATTTGAAGATGCCTAAGATGAACAGCTTTTGTGTCTGTTTTTTCTTCTACTGGAGACAATTCCTTCCACATGTGAGAGGAACTGCAGGATTCTGACTTTCCATCACAAATGTGTAAAAGTTACTTCTGTCATCACTTTATCTTTCCAGCTGTCTTTGATTTTGGGAAAGGATCTAAATGCTGACCACTACTTGTCTTGTTTAAGATTGCAGTTTGCCAAGGGCTCTGCAATCCCAGAACCACTCACTGATACCATACCAAACGCCCGCACAAGCTCCAGCCTTGCTGAGTTCCACAAAATCAGAAGCAAGAAGTGAGCAAACCAAAGGAAGTTTCTTCAGACAACCTCACTCTGTTTTGACTGCAAGTTACACCAGTCTGTCCTGGGGGATCTCTCTCAGCAAAGACTCGCCTCTGACCAGCATACATCAATACAGATTTCCCACACTGACGAGATGAGCTGTGAGTCCTCCTTGTATGGGTGCTGAGGAGGTACTGAGAAAGAGGCAGAATCAGGAAGCTCTTTGGAATGAAATGCTTCAAACTTCCAACTGAAAAGTCCAAGAATTAAATACAGCATGACAGGAGCTTATTCATGAAAGACAGCTTTGTGCAGAAAGCAACTGGCCCTCCTTAGCAGTTCTTGTATGCAGTGTTTAGAGGAAATACATACTTATTCCCATTCTTGGGAATAAACAGGAACATGGGCAGACAGGTTACATTTCCCCCCTAGCCCCTGCTCCCAGGACTGATAAGTGTTTTGGACATAGCACCATTTCAGTTTAGGAAGGAGCTGGTATCGCTTTCTTCTTCTTTACGAACTCTTCCTCTCTGCTAGCCGTAGATCTGTTTGAACTGGTAGCATTCATTGCAATAACCATTGCACTTGTTATTACCATAGTGGTCGCAAGCAGGGGCTCGACAGCGTTGCTTCGGAGGCTCATCTGTGGCTGGCTCCCTGGGACCCCCCAGCTGCACAAGCTGGCCAACGCGCTGGCACTGCTGGCACAGCTCACTGCTTCTGCAGGCCAGGTTGTTTCGACACGAAGCCACAGCACACTGTCTCTTCTGGCTAGTCAGTGCTGCTCGCTGTAGATCTCTGCGCTGTCCTGTTCTCTTGAAACACATTAAAAACGCTGTCAGTTGTCATGCTGGTAGCACAAGTGGCATTTCATTTACTTTCACCTGTGCTAATGTATTGTATACGGGACCACTGGGGGGTTGTTAGCAATCACAAACAACAAACACCGCTGCAAAAATTGCAAGGGCTTTGGGAGACTGCTTTGCAAAGTAGAAAATTCAAACTGAAGCTATTGGGCTTTCCAGATCCTAAGACGACACATACTTCTTCTGAGGAGTAAAATACCAAGAGACAATTCAGGCCTTACCAATGAATAGCATAAGTTTTGTCACCTCCTAGAAAAACAGTTTTATATCTTTGGTAATTCTCAATTCTAAAACCAAAACAAACCAAGTAAAAAAGCCTAGAAAAGAAAATTTGTAGTGTGCTCAATGAAAAAAGGAACATGAAGCAGACTAAACCTCTTGATGCAATTACATAGCTCTCAAGGGATGAATGAAAATCCTTGTACAAACAGCAAACAAAGCAAACTGTGGGTACAGCTGCTTCCACTGAAATTGCTGGTCAAATTCCAGGTGGGTAAAACTAAGAACTGACAGCCACAATAATCCTAAATTGCGAATGACCATCAGAAACACTGCTCAGTTGTAGCAAGCGGAAATCATGAGATACCTTACACTAGTCTTCCCATGACACTTAAAAAATTCTCATGTTGCTGCATCCTATTACACGCTCTGAGTCACCCTCATAAGGGAAAAACATGCTAAACAAAAGGAAGGTTTTCAAAGTTCATACTTACTTCAGGCTGTCTTACTAGCTGCTCTTCTGTCCTTCTGGCTTCCTGAAATCGCTGGCTCTGGGCTTTAATGAAACAGTTCTGGCAGTAGCCCTCCAGCATGGTGCTACCCAGGGTTCCACAGTTCTGCTGCTGGCAAGACATATTGTGGAAAGCGGCAGCTGAGCTCCCCTGTTGACCAGCTGCTGAGGAATTCCTCTGAGATCTCCTCTGATGGCGTAGTGAAGCACTGTCTGTAATGCAAAGAAAGGACAGGGGAAATGTGAATGAGCCCAACAGATTCTACGGCCCAAAGCGACTACAAGAAGCTCCTCAATATGCAAAGAAAAAAAGCAAAAAATTGGCTCGCCCCAAACACTGAATTTGGACAACCCTGATACCTCTCAGTCAAAGCACATTCCTTCAGTTAACATCAACAAAGGGCTACTATAGACTGATCTTTACATCAAACAGCTGATTCAAGAAGAAACTGCTCACAGCATGGAAACTGGATCTCACTAAAGACAAGGAAAATCACCACTGGTTTTAAAATGTCATCTGTGATAGATCCCAACTCTTCCCCTCTGTCCTCCTTCATTTCAGTCACGTGAGGTAGTGTAAGTACAGTAGCACAGAGCTTAATAGGTTAATGCACCCTATACTTCTTAATCTAATGAGGCAATCATATATTCCACAGTCATAACAGTTTTCCTTGTGAACATTCAAAAATAAGCTTTTGCAAGCTAGCGTAATAGGTCCTTAATGCAAAAGTACATGGAAAATGTAGCACTGACATGCCTGTCAGCAACAAAACTGTTTTGTAAGAGGAAAATACTACTTATCTCATGTGCCTTCCACCTTCTGTACCCAAAGGCACTTGCCTGTGTAACAGCAGCAGCATAGAAGTTGAAGATTTCACAACGTGATTTATTTACAGACTATTTTAGGGCTCAATTTTAAGCATATATGTGGACTATCAAGAAACATTTCAAGGTCCATTATAACAATATACTCCTATGTTACTATAAAATACTTATTTTGGATTATCTACACATTATATTTGCACATTAACTACAGACAAATTCTGCTTGCTCTGTTTATCAAGGAGATTTCAGTCATTACTCCAGTTCATATCTGTTAGATCCAGAATGGATAGAGATCTTCAAATTCATGCCAAGTTTTTAAAAAACTTTCCAAACACAATTGGTTTTCAATACAATATCACTTCCTTCACCAATTCCTACAACTGGTCTAGCTATGATGATATTTAATCTGAGAAGATTTATATCAAAACATGTATGGTTACAAGGCATCAAAAATGGTGCTTGATTGACCAAGTTTTTCTTTCATGGAAGCCAATGGAAAGTTTTACAAGATTTCACATATCCCACACTGTTATTGCACACCTCTCTTTTGGGATAGTAATAGCCAATAAAGCACATTTTCCTCACACTGCTGCTTTTGCTACACAGTGTTTGTCACCTCTTGATCTTCTAGAGCACAGCATGTGCAAAACTTCAGTTTCAGTATCTGCACCACATCTGACAAATCTCACATCTTCACTTACCATGGTTTTCCCTGTATTCAAAGAAGCACAGAGTGCAAAAGCCCTCATTCTGAGCTGTTCCAAAAAACTTGCAGCCAGGCTTCCTGCAGAGCTTACTTCCCTTCTTCTCTTCCAAAGTGTGTGGGGCATGAGGCAGTGCAGCCAACGGCAGCTCATCACAATTGTTGTTGGGAGCTTGCTGGCAGGAATGCTGAAGGAGGCTCTGTGGGATCTGGGATGGGTCAGATGTAGATCTCTGATGGCACGTGGGTACAAAACCAGGGCTGCCATTCGAGGAGCGCTCTGTAGTCCTTTTGAAACAAGTGCTGCATATGCCATTAAATGTCCTATTGGCCTTCTGAAGGCAGACTTTACACGTGGCATAGTCCAAGCATCTCTGGTCATCTAAATTATTACAAGGAGCAAGCTGTCTGGCATTGTAGCAGCGTTCACAAAGTCCGTTGTGTTGCACGTTTAAGGTGAAGGGGCAGTCTGGAGTCCGGCATTTCATGGCAGTGGTTTCACTATAGAGGAAAAGGCTGGGAGCAGTTGGGGGTGCAGAGCGAGGCCCTGTTACAGCCTCCTCAGACATCCACCCCCCAGGTTCACAAGCTTTACCACAGCCCAACCCAGCTGCCTTCAGTTTCTCAGGTGCTGCTTCAGTGACCTGCTTTCTTCCTTTGCTTCCTTGTGACCTCCGCTCATAGCACTCGTGGCAGTAGGGCTGGGTGTTCACAGACATATAGAAAGGGCAGTTTGGAGTTTCACATTTCACCTGTAAGAGGGAGAGCTGGGAAAAAGACAGTTCCTGTCTGTTCCTGGAGCAGGCCTCTTTTCTGGCAGGTTCAGCATGCTCCTGCCATTTCTTGTACTCATGCTGCACCAGTTGAAAGTAATCTTCCACAAGATTTATTTCTTTGGGCAGGTTGCCTTCATCCAACCTGACAGACAAAACAAACAAATAAATAAATAATATACACATACACAAAAAAAAAATATGGTTGAAAAGGCCAGATAGTAGGGGTGGAGGCAAATATAAGCGACATGAGGAGGAAATTGAGATTTAATATACATCCATATTACTCAGCTTGAAGATCCAGGATGTTAAACTGTTGCTGTAAATGGAAATAATTTGAAAAGCAGGTGTTCAGTGATGTCAAATAGAGACTTTCACATCTAAAGAAATGGTCTCACACAGTGCTAAACGGAAGTATTCTTGAAAGGATTTTCAAGGTGAGGCTTTTCTGTCTCTGAAAGCTGTTTGCGGGAAGAATAGTCGGATAATCTTTCAGAAATAAAAAGAAAATCTCCCAAATTCTAAATTTGTCTGAAGACCAGTGCTTAGTAGAGTTGAAACTAGAGTGTCCTCTTCTTCAGCCCATGCTAAGAACATATCTTCCATACTCTAGACACAATACTTCATGATAAACTTCATTATGAAACCTGCTCCTGTTTTTGCCCTCTGGGGTCTGTAGCTACTAGTCAAATTCTTCAAACAAACTAGGTGGTGTCAGTTCAGTATGTGCACTGCTAGTACTCCTAGCAGAATCCCTACCCAAACCCTGACAGCAAGGAAAATCCCACATTGCAGCTTTACCATGCAGTAGTTTGGAGGATGAGGAGCTAGTGTTGCTAGCATTACTCAAGAGCCTATTGGGGCAGCAGGAGAAGCTTGATTACTACTGCATTTATCCTTTGGGTATTAGGCGACCAAAGCAGAACAACTCGACAGCACAGAGATATCTCTGCAGGCTGCAATGGAAGTAATGACAGTCATAAAGGGGCAGGCAGACACCACTGCCAGAGATCCCCACATGCAAAAAGCTGGCAGTTGCAGTCAGTTGCTCAACATGTTACTGACTGCCAGGGGCAAGAGGGCAGATGCCAGCTCCTTCACTGGCCACAGCTTCCTGCCTGCTGCACTACCGCAGGAACACAGCCTTTCAAGGCATCTATGCTTCAAAAAGATTGCCAAATATTTTCCCCAGCATAGACAGAACTACACCACGTACACTTCAGGCAGTTTTCCCTTCCATAAAGTGCAAGAGTTCTGTGTAACCAGTTCCTGGTCTTAACTGCTTTCCAGCCACTTTCCTAAGCAATCTAAAAGTCAATGAAAGTAAGAAAGTAACCCATTGGTTTTACTTTTCTAAAATATTAGGCTCAAGCTGCTAAGTCCGAAAACATTTTTGCCTTTGAATATGGTTAGAGCTCAATACTACTTAGATCTGTATCAATAGAAATGCCAGTATTTTTTATTGCAGAGGATATATACTGCCAAATATATAGGAATATACTGCCAAAGTAGGAAAGATGAAAAGCACACAAGGCTGGATCCTACCACTACTTTAAACAACTGTGGAAACAGAAATGAAACTCACTTTGCAGCATTAATTAAATGAGTTGTGCCATGATCCCAGCCTTGCACTGGAATTTCTATGACTATCAAGTAGTCTTTCAGCAGCTGCTCCTTCTCCCTCTCCTCTGCATCTGTCAGAAAGTGCACGTTCAAATCCTCGAATCTGCCTCGTTCGCTGGTGACCAGAGGGACAGCCCGGATTTCTGTATGGAAACATAAAGGTTTAGCATAGATATTTTATCAGATGAGAGTATGAGATACAACACTGCTACTGAACTTCGGGGAGACAAGAGAAGGGCTGGCAAGACCAAATGGTTTCTAAAGAGCACAAATGAGAGAGGAGGCAGATAAGCCTCCAGACTACAGATCAAACCTCATCCCACTGCAATTCTAATGTCCCCGTAGCATAATTGTCTTCTCACTGTTGGAAGTATCATAGATCTTACTTCACTGCATATTTTCATGGAATGACGCCCTAACCTGAACCTAGAGAACTGTTACCCATTCAGAAGAAATACATACTTTGCCATCTTCAAAACATCTCATCACATCTGCTAGGCAGCAGCACACAGGTGTGAGACCATGTCCTTCAAAGCTTTTCATGGAGGGGCATAAAAAGGGGGCCAGAGCACTGCAAAGCAGAGGCCACCATTTGTCTTGTCCAAGCCTTGATGCAGGTGAGCTGTGCTCCCTTTTCAGCTGGCATTTTGAAGACAATCTTTAGTTTCTTTTCAGATTTACAGACAGCTGTTTCTGTTTTAATTTTAACGATGTATTCCAAAGGAATCTTCTACATCAATTTTAACTTTCAAAAAGCAAATATAAACCAGGTTGTATTTTAAATTCTTTAGCAGCATAACAAAATTGAAGGCCCTATGCAAATACTAGATAATGTATGTGAAAAATACCTGGCCCACTGTCCTTCAGGGTCACAAGTGGTGTAAAATGCATATTGTCATAGCCGAGCACAATTGGATATCTGTAGCATTCTTCAGCTGGCCAGAGGAGTGGCAGGTAAACACCACCAACGTTCAGAGGAGCAAAACTGGAGCCTGATTCTAAACTTCTCACAACTTTATCTACATAAGGGAGAAAAAGAAAATCTGTTAAGTTGGTGCAATTGGCAAAGAGAAAAAAACATTTGGGGTACATCAGAAATACTGCCAGTTCTGAAAGATGCCTATGTGAAAACAGCAATTAGCAAGCTCACATTACTAATAAAGCACAGACTAATGCAGTCCTTAATGAAGGATGACATGCTGGACAACTCACCTGCAAGGACAACGATTGGTCTTCTGAGGATATTAGCAAGAACAAAGATGTGGATTTCTTCCAGTGCATTATAAGGAAGTCTGTTTCGAGCCCCAGATGTTTCCGGGGAGGTCATTTCAATGAGGTACTCCCACTCCTCCTCCCAGTTCTGAGAAAAAAAACATCCATCAGTTCAAAACCAGTCCAAAGACACAGGGGTCAGGAACCAACTGCAGCACTCAAAATATTTACGTTTTCCCATTTTCTCCAAAAGAACAATATTTCTGTTCTTCAACTAACAGTGGAATACGTGAAGCCAAAAATGAAAGAAAATCAACAAGGCAACACTGACAAGCATTCAGGAACCAGCGTGATCTCCCAGGCCTCCTTACCCGGGTGTCAAAGTGGAGTCCTGTTTGCACAAACTCCTGGGATTTAATAGCCTCCCGCTGCCAGCGCAGCTTGAAGTTCTGTGTGTCAGTCTCCCTGAGTGCACTAAACAACGTTTTCCTTAAGACGAGGTCAACATCTTCAATACCCCACATGTACTGTGATGCAGCGTGCATGAGGCAATTTCCATCACCTGCATAAAAAAAAACAACATTGTTTTTAAACGGCTATTTAAATACAACCTCACCAACACATGAGATGTGGCAATACGCAGCAAATACACATATTCCATGTGCACTTCTCTCTAAGGCTCTGCCAGAAGGCTTTTCTCAAGCAGATCACAGCTAAGAACGCTCTGCTCAGGAGAATAAAGCAAGTTGTTTCCTTTCCTCTGGTTGTCCCTTCACTGCTCAGTAAGCTGCCACTCAGCAGTGGCAGGAAACTTGATATTTATTTAACTTGGACTGATACCACAAACTGAACCCAAAACAACTTTTGGGTTGACTGCAAAGGTCAAACATAGTTGAAATTGCTTTTAAACATAATTGAGTCACTTTAAAAGTACAACAGAATGTGTAAATCTCCTTCACCAACGCTTACACTAATGTATTCACTCAATGGCGTAGGGTTGAGGTAATGGAAAACACTAAGAATATCCTATAGTAACAGCAAGCTTCACTTCCTCTGACAAGGGCTGCAGTGATAGGCCTTGCTCGGTGGAGGAATTACAAAGACTGAGAGACAGTATGAGATTTCTATGAAGTAATTGTAGGAACACCTCTTGCCTTCCTCTCAGTACTGACAGCTGTATGCTGCACTGCTGAACGTTTAAGCTTTGCTTTCCTAAAACACAAAATTAACGTTAGCTAAATGAAAAACAGTGATTTGATTTCCATTCAGACAATCCCTTCAACTGAAAGAGTCCTCCCTACGTGTAGGAAGAAAAGCAGTGTTCTGCAGTTTCAGAGGGGAGGAACTGAGAATCAGATTGGTTAATTAACTAAATTAAAAGGTGTGACAAACCATGCCTATGGCTGGAGTTCAAATTCTGCATCTACCCATCCTCTTCAATAGCCTTTTGAAAGGGAAATACCAAGAATCATTATGGTCATAGAATGGCCTGGGTTGAAAAGGACCACAATGATCATCTGGTTTCCACCCCCCTGCTACGTGCAGGGTCGCCAACCACCAGACCAGGTTGCCCAGAGCCACATCCAGCCGGGTCATGTCATGGCCCCAGATGCAAAATTAGGTCTGGTGTTTAATACAGGGGGAAGCAGTTTCATCAAAAGTTAAGAAACCACAGTGATTTCCTTGGAATAGAGTACATTAACTATCATAGAACTGCAAGATTTTTCTCATACTGGAGTTAAAATAAAGACTACCACCACACATACACACTTGAAACCATGCATTATATGTAACGAGCTCAAGTAAGTCACTGGATGAACACTTCTGCTATTTTTTCTGATATGTTGAGAAAAATCTACAACAAACACCAAAGCAATCACTTGAGAGGTACTTCACGTTTTATAAACTGTTATGGGCTCCTTGCACTCCAGGTTCCTTACACTGGCTTCTTGTTTTTGAATGACATCTTGCATTGCTTACCTAAAGTCTGCAGCCTGCCTGTTTGAGCTAAAGAATTCAGGGAGCAACATATAATATAGAAAAACTGCCTGGGTTTCCTTCTGAACAAGAGAGATGAGATATGAATCCCAGGAAAATTTTCCCTTTGCAAAATCTAGAGCAAAGATAAGATTTTTTTTTATTTTTTTTTTTCTTTCAGAGCTGACTTTCAGTTCTTTATTGAGAAGCACCACACCAAATTCCTTACACAGCACTTGGAATTCCCCAGCGCTATTTGACTAGCAGTTGAGCAACAGCCGTACTTTTTGTTCTGCTGCCCGCACAGCTGAACAGCAAAGCCTCCCTCGGACTTTCCCGGGGGTGTGGCTGGGTGAATTGGAATGAATGCCTATTCATTATACAAGTGAAATCGCCGCAGCCAATAGATGATGGAATTTTTGGTGTGTGTTGTTTTCAAAAAAGCAGTTTCCATTTTTGTGCCACCTACGGCCTTTCCTCCTATTCCCCCTGCACACGTCCGCAAATAAACGTGTAGCGATTTGAAAGTTGGGGTTTTTCTTATGCCATAAACTCACGTACGTGTGAGGTAAAAATAGACGTTAAGAGATCCTACAGGAGAATCGCTTTCTTTGTTTTGAACAATCAAAACTGTCAGAAAGAAAGAACACAGATTTTTCTTAGAAAAAACCCATCAGTGACTGAAGGAACTAATGCATTCCTCCCACATCTCCACGTTGTGCAGTTGCATGCTTTTAAAATATTCTTTATGCCACGTGGAGAAAAAAAAAAAGCTCACATTTTTTTCCCCACTCACTTGAATAACATTATTTTACAGGCTAGCACAGGGATTCTCCAGGCTTCCGTCCTGTTTTTCAGGGATCACTCCTTCAGCCCAGTTTACCTTCCCCCTTGTGCAAAGCTGTGTCTACTTTGCATAAACCGCAGGCTCTCAGCGCCACTCCTCCCTCCTTTCCATGCCCTCAGCGACCTTACAGCACCGAACCCACACCATGTGCACAGCACTGGCTGCGTGAGGTATGGGAGGGAATACAAATCAACCTCTTGACTTTGCCACTCCTAAGCCAGCTCTAATATTTCAGCATCCTATATACTGGAACACCTACTCACTAGATGGAATGCCAGTCCACAAGTCTGTAACACCGGCGTACATTCCTGACACAAGGACCTGACACAAGGGACCCCATTCATGGAGTAACCTGTAAGAAGCAGCAGCAACTGCCTGCCCAGTCAGTTATTGAACCCTGCAGAACTCCTGCTACTATCAGATGTGGGATTCCAAAACCTATGCACTTTGCTGCGGACAAAACCTATGTACATTGACCATATTCATGGAAGATCTGTTAAAGCATATCCAAGAGGAGCAAAACTTTGAAGGCTCTACATATGGAGCAATGCCACCCTCCTGGGACTTGCCAAGCACTGGCTGTCCTAGCTGAATTCCCAGTCCTCCTGGAAGTTCAAGATTATGCAGCCTTTAAGGGCACTCAACTGCAGCCAAATGCAGATGCAGCCCATAAAGCCCACCAAAAGTTCAGTGCTTCTGTTACAGTGACAGATGTGTACCTCTGGACTGGGCTCTTCAAGGTCAGAGCAGTTGCATCTACATGGTGGTTCTGTCTTTATGGCTTTTGTGAAGCATGGCTGTGTACAATCAGACAGGGAAGAAAAGACTTAGAAGAAAAGGTTTAGAAAAACAAGGACTATGTGTACATAAACAGATCAGAAAATAAACACCCAAAGAGCACGATGCTGGGACTTGAACTAGGCTGAAGGCCTACCACATCCAGTGTTTCTACAACCAGTGTCACCTGCTCCCTGAACAAAAAATCTCTATTTCCCATGTTCTTGGATTCATCACTTTCCCAGTCTACGTTCCCAGTTTGGGGCTCTCTATACAGCAGAGAATCCTGAGTCTGAGTTTGCAGCTGCATGATCATAACTCATAACTGTTACCAAATCTTTCCTGCATTGAACGTGAAATCCTAGCAATTCTCACAGTCATGTGCTAAATTTTCCTGCGTGATTATATGGCTTCTTGTACCCTACAAAGAAATATTTGTACTACCTCTATTTCATTTATAGCATCTGATACAATAAGCATAAAGTAACCCTACAGAGAAGTCATATAGCCAGCACCAACCTTTGAGAGAAAAGGCCATTAATTTTTGCTGCCCGAGGCACATGGAAGAATGGCTGTCAAGCCCTAAGGAAAGGCAGAATCTCGCAGACCCTGCTAAGTAGCTGAGCACCAGGGAGCTGGCTGTGTGTAGAGCTCAGCCTGCTGCAAGCGAGGTCAGCTTGGCAGAGCTCCACAAGGGTGCTACCATCTGGCCTGTATACAAGGAACAAATCCCTGCTGCTCAAAGCATTCCAAACCTCCACCTGCCCAGCGTTAAGGGCTGATCACTGCTTCTAATAGAAGAGCTGACATGTCAAGAGTCAAGTCCATGAAACAATGACGGAACAGTGCTCTCACATGCTATTTTTCCTCTGACATGCCAAAAGTTACTGATGTTATGAAAATACCTGAGAATTTTTCAGGCCACTCATCATGCCATGAGATGGGCGGGTGATTGCTATAGACTCCAGACAGCATGCCACCCGGACAGAATTTAAGCTTACACAACTAAGAAAAACAGATCCGTATTACCTATTTTAAAGTGAGTGCAAAGACCTGCTCACAGCTTACCATTAGTTTTCAAAGGCACAAGTCTCCTGACTTCCATGCACCAGTTCAGCTTCCTCTGGCGCTCCAGCGAAGTCTGGGTGGCTTGGTCAGTCAGGGCCTTCTGAAGCATTTCCCGGAATTGAGGGCAAAACTGGCACATTCTGAACATTTCTATAGTGTATCTGTGCATAGTCCTGAAGTGGTGAATTATTCCACTGGGAGGTCTGACCAGATCTTCAGGTGTCCTCTCTCTAATCTTCACAGCCTTCAGCATGTTGCTCTGATACAAAGCCTGAGGAAGGATGTGTTGGCCAGCCATGTTCCTAGACAAAATCTGAAACGAAAAGTATTCTCTTACTGACTTGTTAATTGCCCTTGCTCTGCAGCGCTATCAGTTTTGCAGAGATTAAGAACACACTTCTATATGTGGAATTCTAGTTGCTGTTTTGACTGTAAAGTACATAGAGTGGATGCCAGCCACTGAGACTTATGCAGACCATTATTTTTAAAGTTCACCTCCATCAGCCTCTCTGCATTACTCAAAGATAACTACTGAAGAGCTTATCCCACCCATTTATTGTGATCATTTATTGAACTACTGAAGGGAGTTCATTCATCACTAAGGAGATTATGTCATTGTACAAAAAAAGGCAGTCAAATGAAAGCAAGGGTAGAAAAAGGCAAGATCAAGGGAAGGAAAAACTATCTTGGAAACTTAACTAATTGATAATTGCACAGTGTAATACCATATGAACTTGCTGAACTTTCAGCACGTTCCAAACTCGTGTTTTGATGACATGCCAAAAAAGCAGATAATGTCCATTTCAGATTTCCGCAGCCCATGCATTCTGATGAGGATGCTGGGTATAGCATAAAAAGAGCCTGGATATCACATGCCGTGCTAGATTCTGTCCTATACTTACATTGGCTGAAGATGGTAAAGGAGGTATTAGTGGCAGACCAAGCACCCAGGGACAGACCTGTGTTACCCTTCTCGAGGCTCCTTCTGTTTTGTGAGCAGAATAGCACTGCAGAGGTGCTCGTGCAGCATGTGGGGGTGCAAGCTGTGGTGCCACTATTACTCAGCGCTAAGTCAACATCGCTGAAAAAGCATTTCCACTTGGCTCAAAAACCCCAATATTTTTCCATAGTGGGACAAGCAGTGTTTACTGCCCCGTATCCCTTTCTTCAGTACCTCTGGCTTGATGGGCTACAGCAGGAAGAAAAAAAAAAAACCCATAACCTCAAAGTATCTATAGTCTGAAATAATCATTCTGGGCACGCTAACTCTGTGGCTAGCTGCAGGCAGACGCAGGGACCACACTCTCACATCCCACCTGTGCACTGCAGTAACACCATGAGCTTTTGTTTTTATATGGCGAGAGTACATGCTGTCCACATGGACTACTGCTCTGCTCACAAAGCCAAATTTCTATCAAGCAAAATAAAGGTTTGCATACCTAACATTTAGAATTCAGTTGGTTACACCAGGAGTGAGGATTATGAATTTAGGGACAAATACCAAATCACAGGTATATATCAAGACCTCAATACATCCTACACCAAGTATAGGGTGACCAGAAACAAGAGAAAGCTTCCTAACAGCTGCTTCTCATCTTCCCCTAACCAATATATTTTCATACACACCACTCACATAAATCATCCATACATTTAAACATAGGATTGAGGAATGACAGATAAACATATTAACCTGTCTAATAACCACAGCTCTGCTTTGCACAGAGATGGCCACAGTACTGAATTCCTAAGTTACGTAAGTAGAGTGATTGAGTCAATGAGGTTTTTTTTACCCAAATAAAGACTTATCAGATGATTAATCACTACTGGCACAGACCCTTGAAGTGGTTATTTCCAGCTTTAGGTAACAAAAAGTACTGAGTTTACAGAAGCGTTCACTGGAACTGTGAATTCAATGTTCTGTAATATTCTACGGACATTTTCCCCTTCAGAAGTGGAAACTACTGTTTGTGCCATTTACATTGAACATCAATCAAGGCAAAAAAAGAACAACCCTGACTGTGAGAAACAGAGCAGTGAAGCAGCTCAGCAGCCACAGAAGCTAACAACTCAAAGCACAGTAAGACTTTAGAAGCTGTATTGGCTTTCACTGCACTGTACTTCTCTGCATGGCCACGCTACTATCACCTTTTAGCATGTAATTATTGAGTTTGCAGAAAAAAGAAAAAAAAAAAAAGAGGAAAAAAAAAGCTGGGAAAAGTGCAGCATATAGTTCTGCAGCATATAATATGGAAGATGCTGGACTCGGGGAAATCTGCGTTCTGTTCTGAAACGTGGCAGAGTCGCGCTCCAGCTCTGTCCCCTAAACGAAGAAGCCAAAGGTAAACTCCTGCCGGCCGGACCTGCAACGAGGCTAAAAGCGTCTTGCAGCCTCCAATCTCCGTCACTCGGAGGCGCGGGCTCCAGCAGCCCCAGCCGGGCCTCCCAGCCTGCTGGACGCGCCGCTGCTGAGCGCAGCCCGCCGCCCCACGCTCTTCCTGCAACCCCGGCCCGCCGCCAGTCAACAGAGGGCACAATTCCACCGCCCGCCGCGGGACCGATAACAAAACCTCCAGAAATCCGTCGGGCAGCTTCTCCCCGCCCTAGCAGCGCTCACCTCTCGAGCGGCGAGCTCCTCCGGGCACGGGATCGATCCGCCGGTGAATGCTGTTCAGCAGCCGGGCCGCGGCGAAGGCACGCAGCCGGGCTCGGTCGCCATCAACGAGCGGCCGGCAGCAGGCCCGGGTTGACCTGGCCGCGTTCCCGTCCGCCGCCCCCCTCTCCGATGCGGAGCTGCTGCCGCCGCTACCTCTGCCGCGGAATGAAGGGCTGAGCTCAGCCTCTTGTTTTCTTTCCCCTTTCTGTTTCAGCGCCTGGACAGGAAAAAAAAAAAAAAAAAAAAAAAAAAAGACAACAACAAAAAAAACCCCAGCGGGGATTTCCACCGTCAGCGCTTGGGACTTTCCGACATGTGACAACAGCAGCGCCGGCACCGCCGGATCCTCGTGCCGCCGGCAGGGGGCGCCGCAGCGCTCTCTTCGCGCACAACAGGGCTCCGGGTGCCGCTGGAAGCGGGGCAGCTTGTCTTGTGGACGCGGCAGCGAGGCCAGGCTGCTGGTCCAGCAGAGTGGCCTGCAAGGCCCTCGGGCATGAGGCTAGTGCAAGGGAGGGAGGCGCCATGCTGGGCCCGCGGCAGTGCCCTTACAACCGCACCGCGCTGTAACGGCAGTGAGAGAGGCTCAGTGTTGCCCTGCAGTTGTTTCTTCTCTCTCCTTTAATTAAAGGTTTCGCTCTCGGTACATAATCGCATAGCTCTGTGTTAACAGGCTCTCATCCAGTCCTGCTCAGGGCAAGGGTCAGAACTGCAGACTGAGGCTATGGAGGTCTTCCTGCTTGAACTGCTGACCACCTTTAATGACTGCAAACATATAATTCACACCTTTAAATAGCATCCTAAAGCCTATACAATGGAAAAAGTCTGAATAAAACACTTAACTTAGGGCCTCTAACTAAAACCTACAGATGTGATCTCAAGTGCAAATGGGCAGCTCCTTGCTTACAAGGCTTGTAACCTGCAGGCAGACAGAACCAAAGTACAACAATGTTTTTTTCAGTCCTAAAAGGCTTTCTACAGATGCTGAACGCCTGCCAGTACCATAGGTCCCACTGACTAGATGAGAAGGTGGGGTTGCCCCATACCTTGAAATCTGGCCTGTCACAGAACAGGTGGATCTGGGGAGAGCTCACATCTGAGCTTCCTTGTCTCCATTAGCATCAGCTGGCTCAGTCTGTGCCCTTGTGGCATCTGTGCAACTCTGTGACAGTGTGCTCCTTCTGGCTTCTGAAAGCCATGCATTTGGCTCTGTGGTTTGCTGTTACCCTTTCTCTGCCTAAGAAGAGGTAGGAAGGCTCTGCGCTTACTGATAGTCTGAGGGGCTGACAGATCCAGGAAGGCTGGGTGACTGAGGAACTGGGTCTGAATGATAACTTACATAACTGGGGCTGCATCTGGGGTGTGGTTTACTAAGTGGATGTTTCCTGCAGCAGTGAAGTCAGTTTAAAAAAGAACTTGCCATTCCCTGTTCCTGGGTGTTTTTCTTTGTAACCTTCGTTTGTGTTGAGGTACTGGATTACTGAAATGATCTGATTAGAAACCAGCTATATGTATGTATTTACGTATATATAAATACATACACACACATATATATAAATAACCAAACCATTTTCCCCTGGTGATTTGATGACAGGTCACTCATTCAGTTTTAGAGAGAGCATTTAAAGCAATGGTGGGTTTCACCGTGGAGTGGGAATGAGGAGCTAGGGTAAGAAATGTATAATGGACTGATGTATGTGCTACTTTGTGTAAAACTGCAGCAAACAGATTAGTAAGTGGTTCTAGACTCTTCTGTTGTTTTTTTGAGGGGGGATGGAAGGGGGGGGTTGTTGTTACAACATATTAAAAGGAAAATGAGTGTGAGTAAAAAGTTCTGCAGGTAATAGCTGTGAGCCTATGAGGGAAATACATAATCTAAGGAAAAACTGAAAAGACAACAGCTTATTTTTGTTATCCTAAGCTCTGAGCATATATGAATATTCAATTACTATCTACACCTTGATAAACTAAATGCTGATTGCATGTGGCTAAGGCTAATGTTTATCATGCAGGTCTGAGCAGGATGGCAGGAATTCACTTGATGAGTTTGCACAGCACAAAACGAAGCTCAGTCCTATCAGCCAGATCTCCTAGGCAATATAGCAACACACATAAAAACATCAACTTCATCGATAATTATTGAATAATGCATGAATATATATTCTATTTTTCAGATTTACTCCTCTGAACTGTAATTATACTCCATAGTTAATCCCACCATTTCGCTGAATGTAAACATTACATCAAAATATAAACATATATATGTATGAGAGAAGGACATTTTCTTCTTTGAAGTGTGTTCATGTACACACATACATGTATTTAATACATATTTTTATGCATCTATATATGTATACATGTCTATCATAGGGAATGGGTAACTTCCCCTTGTCATCGAAGATAGGTGAGAAACAGTGAGCTTAAGTTGCAGCTACCTATATTCTGGTAACATATAAGGGAAAAAGAAATGCTTACATGTGGCAAAGTTAGCATAACTCCAGAACAGGCAATCCATAGAAGATGCAGAATATCCATCGTAGGAGAATATTAAAATAATTTGTTTGCACATCAGTCAACTATTAGTATTGTACCTGAGAAGAGGAATTAATCTCTCAAGAGGTCTCATTCAGCTCTGTTTCTTTATATTATTTTATTATTCTACTTCTTATTGTTCAAGAGGGAGGAATTCATGCTTACTAAATTATACCAAGCCTTCAGTGTGTTCAGAACACCATCACCAAATGTTTTAGAAATTGCATTAGGAAAGATTGTCATAATGGGAGTTCTATAATATTCTATCACAGGATGATGACTATGATAATATTTGTGGATAGTGCCATTCAGGCTTTAATAGTTCGATAACCAGCCAGGTCTTTTACTATCAGGTAATTCTATAAGATGTGTGATTCATAAAAGGATCATAAAAGGGAAATCCCTACTATTGCAATAGCAGTGCTTGAGGTCATGCTGGAGTTCAGCACTTCTGGCTTCCAGAAGCTCTTTCATTACTTCTTTTCCTGGTGGAGGAGTGATGAGAAGGTCTTGCCTGTATAGAGGAGAAACAGAGAGGAAAATCCCTTAAACCTGTAGCAGGCAGAAAACTAGTGCTAACTACTGAATTAAGTAGTGATGGTTAAAGAAAAGAAAAAAAAAAAATTACTCAAACTCATCTCTGCCATTTAGAAAGAGCTGAACTGGTTTTATTAATTTTCCATTACACTCATCTAAATACGGTAAGAAAAACTCCAGATTCCCAGGGAAACCTCTAGTATATTTTGTGGCAAGGGACAGCTCTTAGTTATGCCACTGGACCAAGCTTTCCTTTGCTTTTCTTCTGCTTTGTGAGTGTGTGTGTTCTTATTAATCTCCATGCTAAAAATATCAGAAATAGCAGTGCTGGTATTGCAGTGCTGCAATGGATTCCAAAGAAGCTGAACGTTCAAACCTTGCTTTAGCGACTTCTGTTGAGTTGTAGGTTAAAGACCAAGAATAACATTGTACCATTAAGGCTGGTGACGCATTCAAGCATATTACCTGTGGAGGCAAACATTTGACATTCTATTAGCTAAAAGTATCTGCCTTGTGGCATGAAGGTAGTGGGCAAAGTAGAATCTTGAAGTGTTTTTCCAGCATTGTGATGTGACATTCTGTGATAAGTGTGAAAAAGTTTGCAGTGGTGATAGTAATATCTTTCCAGCTTGATCCTTTTTCTTTTTACGTTCCTCTGATATCTATCTGGATCTACTGGATCAAGCCTCAGGGTCTGTGAAAACTGCAGAGGCAATAAGCTGTGTATGTATAAGACAGCAGCAAAACTCAGTGTGACTGACCCTCTGCAGTGTACGATACAGAGAATTCTATTAAGCCCACAACAAGAAATAAACAGAGACCAAAAATGTTTTTGCCTAGGAGAGCAAAGTGCTTTCAGTGGATATTGAAACAGGCTGAGACAGGGCTTGTGGCTGAATTGAAGAAAATTAGAACAGCTGTAGTAGGCCAAATCAAAGGTTCATGTAGCTTAGTGTTGTTTCTCACAGTGGTTAAGAAGATGCCTAGGAAAGAGTGAAGAAATTGCATGGGTTGTTCCTAATAATTTTCCAACCTGCACTTTGCCACAGTTTTTCTCTGGGAATTTGGTCTGTCGCTTTTTATTCTAGTGCCTCGTTGTCTTGTTTGTACAGTAAGTTTAAGAATGTTGGTTTTTATTTCTCAGCTTTATGTATACTATTGTTTTGGCTACAGACTCTTCAGGGGAGTCTTCTGTTGTATTGTGTTTGTCATCTCTTAACAATGAGACGCATGGATGTCACACACATTTAGAAAGCATGTTCCCTGCTTCAAGAAAGTTACTGACCAAGTCTCTTGGATGTGAACTATTAACATCATAATGGCCTTTGATGTAGGTTGAGGGTTGTAAGCATAAAGCACTGCATAGATAATGCTTTGAAGCAATGAGTCCTGCACAGAAATGGTCTTCTCTCTCTAAAACATAGTAGTCAGCATGCCTTAAAGCATGTGACTGTCTTTAGGTAGAGCAAGCTCACTTATTTTAGCCATTACCTTGTGCACCACAGCAGAGGGATCTAAAGCAAAGCCTGAATTTCTGAATTGTTTCAGTTGACAGTTCAGCATCTATAAGTCAGCAATTGGTTAACAAATAAATAGTCAATGCCTCGTGTGTATTTTGATAGGAACTACTGTTGTTTTCCTTTCTTGTAGATTCCCTTCTGTTGTGGTCACATAAACATCTGTTCTAACTTTAAGTGTGAAATAAGCATTTAACAGAGCTGTGTCCTCTGGGAGTAAATGAGGAGAGCTGGGAGGATGGAGCTAGCTAATGCTTGCTCACCAGTTTAAAGCCCTTACTCCTCCATTCTTTGTTCCCTGAGCAGTTTCAGCGCATAGTTGCAGTCATAAGTCAGCCTACAGTTCAGCAGACTTGTCCATATTAGAGGTCCTTAAAATGCCACTGTATCTTAGCTCCTTTTCTCAGTGAAATCTAGTCACTAGGGAAGTTTTTGTTTTCTCCCAGAAAGTAAAATCTACATAGTAAAAGTCAGTGCAACATTTTCTCATTTATTCTAGATATTTCCAGTAACGTATTTTCTTATGGATGTTTCCATAAGATGTAAGCCAACCTTACATTCTTTAAAATCAATAAAGCTCTTTTAAACTGTGGTTAACTTCAATGTGCTTTTTGAATATGTGAGTGAATGACTCCGTTTCATTCCTTACTAACATGGGAGAACTGTAGACACTGTTTTCTATACTCAACAACTCTCAACAGTGGGATTATGTAGGGACTGCTAAGTGAATAAAAAGTGATTGTGTGAAGGTAGTCTTTGGTCATGAATCATAGAGCATGAAACTTCTTAGTCATTTCT